TATTTTAGGGCTTCTTGGGAGGTTCTTCTTTTGGTTTCTGTTATATTTATTCCTGTTCTAATCTTTATTATTTCCTTCCTTTTACTGGTTTGGGGTTTTGTTTGTTCTTTTATTTCTAGTTCCTTTAGATGTAAGGTTAGAAGGGATTTTTTTTTTTTTTTTCTTGAAGTGGACCTGTATCTCTAAACTTCACTCTTAGAACTGCTTTTGCTGTGTCCCATAGATTTTGGACAGTTGTGTTTCCATTTTCATTTGTTTTGGTAGTATTTTTTTTCTTTTTTAAAAATTTCTTCATTGACATATTGATTGTTTAGTAGCATGCTCTTTAGTCTCCTTGTTTGTATTTGTTTCTTTTTCTTTTAATGTTGTTCTTATAGTTGATTTCTAATTTTGTATTGTTATGGTCAGCAAAGATACTTGATATGATTTCAGTCTTCTTAAATTTATTGAGACTTGTTTTATAGCCTGCTATGTGATCTGTCCTATAGAATATTTCATGTACACTTGAGAAGAATGTGTATTCTGCTGTATTTATTTGGAGTATTCTGTTAAGTCTGTTTGGTCTAATGTGTTGTTCAAGGACATTGTTTTTTTATTAATTTTCTGTCTGGACATCCACTGATGCAAGTGGAGTATTAAAGTCTCCTACTATTATTGTATTTCTACTAATTTCTCTCTTTGTATCTCTTAATATCTGCTTTATGTATTTAGTTGTTCCTATGTTGGGTGCATAAATATTACAAGTGTTATATCTTGTTGAATTTTGCTCTTTATCATTATGTAATGCCCTTCTTTATTTCTTGTTGCAACCCTTTTTTGTTGTTGTAGTTGTTTTGGTTTACTTATTTATTTAGTTAATTAGTTCAGTCTATTTGGCCTGATGTAAAAGCATTCCACCTCCGCTTTCTTCCTTTCCATTTGCATGGAATATCTTTTCCCATTCCTTAACTTTCAGTCATTATCTGTTTTTAGATCTGAAGTGAGGCTCTTGTAGGCAGCAATAGACTATATTTTGTTCTCCTTTGAAATAATTAAGCATTTCTATGAAGTCAAAACAATCAACTGGAATTAAGCCTGCCTTTTTAAGTAGATGTATACTCCAGGTTATCTTCTAGCTTTATCATAGTTCCTTGAAATAAGTTTTGCTTTTTTATGTTATCTTTCTCATTCTTGTGGACATTTGCATTTTCCATCTCTGGCTAGTTAAAGACTATGTAGCAAATAAATTGAAAAGAGACCAGGAAGTAAATTTTGTCATTGTTTAACTTTCAAAAAAGTTAAAAACGTGACTCATACCAATATGTAGTGAATATGTATTAAGGAGTCACTTAGCTCACTGATGAGAACTATAAGGATGGTAAGTCTGGTTCAAAGGTGTACAGAAGAGACTGAAGTGTTTACAGTCAATGAAGCAAAAACTTGCTAATTTAAGATTGTAAAGTTAGATATAAAACTATTTAATATCAGTGGACAATAAAACTAGGGTTATCTTTACTACCTGATGGAAATCATTTGCATCACTATTGGACATAAATTATTTGCAAATTATCAATGTACAAATTCAAAGAGACTAGGATCTGATTAGTATTAAATTGTAAGTTAAACAAAGGTATATTACTCAAGAAAATTCACTGATTTTTTTAAGGTATAACAGACATTGATTCAGTATGACATTGATAGGACATGTAGACATTCCTTTATATTTTTTTTCTTAAAAAGATTTGACTTTTGTTCTCAATAATTTTGTGGCATGGACAACTCTATTATACTTGAGTAGGTATGTGATTTTGCCAGAGTACCACATCAGTATACCACAGACTAGATGACTTAAACAACAGAAATTCATTTTCTCACGATTCTGAAGATAGGAGGTTCTAGATCATGGTTTCAAATGGTTGAATTCCTCTGAGGCCACTCCTTGCTTGCAAATAGCCTTTTCTCTATGTATAGGGATTCCTGCTATCTCTCTTTGTATGTCTTAATCTCATTTTATAAGGATATGGGCCAGATTAGATTAGGGCTCAACTTAATGGCCTTGATTTCATCACCTCTTTAGGAATTATCTCCAAATACAGTCACATTCTAAGGCAATGGAGGTTAGGACTTCAACAAATGAATTTTGGGGAAAAACGATTCAGTCCATAATAGTTAGTATACATTACATTTTAGTGAATTAAAATCAGTACCGTATTCACCAACTCTGGAAATTAATTATTTGCCTTGTGTCATGATGAAAAATCTGTTGTAATGTGTGTGTGTGTGTGCTTATCCAATTATAGATTATAAATAGTTGCCTTTTGTTTAAAAAAAAACACATTTTCCTTAAATTTTTCATTTTATTTTAACTGGGTACAACTTTAAGTTTTTAGACCTAACAAATATTGTGTTTTAAAACATTGTTATTTAAAAAATTGTTATTAACTACTTATATGATGTACAAGTTTGAAAATGCTTTCAATGTTTTTTCATTATTATTTAAAATTTTACCAATATTGATATATTGTAGCTATGAGTAGAATAGTAACCTTTATATTTGCCAATTAGAAAATTCTGAGTAACCATAATAAAAGCCATTTCCAAAAAAAAAAAAAAAGAAAAGAAAAAATTCAGTTGATTTCAGTTGAAAAATGAATGAAAAGCAATGAGGAAACATAATAACAGGAATATATTTAAATTTTTGTTCTAGTAACAGTAAAGTAATAAGGGTCTAACTAAAAATTTAGAATTTTTTCATAATGTCATAAAATGATTACAATTTCCTATGATCTTGGTTATATTTCCCCAAAATTAAGATGAAATACTGAATCCATTGTCTGGAAGATTCATGTATCTCCTGAAACGAGTAAAAAATTTCAGTCAAATTTATTTACTTATTGTCTATTTATCTATTGGCTTCCTTACTTGAACTTTTTGTCTGATTGCCTCAGTTCTCCAATCTTAATAAAAGATTACATTAAAACTAGACAAACTCAAATATAAGAAAAAGAAACAAAGCCAATACCCACAATTACTGAGTGTTTGGCTAATTATTAGGTTATTTAATGAGACCTTTGTGCTTCAAACTTGGATGGTTGTTAACAATACCTATTGTTTCAGTAGCAGAGAATCTTTCTTTAATGATAAAGAGTTGGAAAAAGGTGTGAATGCTGTCAAAAAGCTCTTTTGTCTGAAATTGCAATTGCATAGACTACACAAACTGCATGCCTAGCATGAAGGATGGGCCATTGAATGGGCTCTGGCACATACTTTATCTGAACACAAGGTATTTAAAATGACATTTGAGACAGTGGGTTCTGTGCTGTAGTTCATATAATAATGTAAAAAGAATTTTAAAAAAGCATGCATTTGCAGATTTCTGGAGACAGAGAAATAGTTCAGCTTTTTAAAAATCCTGGTTGCTGAGCTGGTTGAAAAAAGTTGCATGTAGTTTGTGAAACATTTAAATGGTTATGTTTCCATAAAGACTGTGCAATTCAGGAATAAAACTGTAATCGATAGCTTGAAAACGTGTGTCCAATGAATTGCAATATCCACTTTCTGCTTGTTCTTGTAAGGCATGATAGAAATTCCCACAAACTTGTTACTTTCTGTACTGGCTTTGACAATATACCATTAAGAGTGATAATAATGACACATGCATCTATGTTAGTCTTTCTGTTGAAAGGATATCATTCACTGAAGCTGCAGGTTACTAAAGAAGTATTTTGAAGCAGAGTAGGAAGAATGTTTAGGTTCAGATTATAGAAAGAAACTGCTTGGTGAATGAATCATAGATCCATAGTAAGTTTGAACAAGGAGGTATCAAAGTATAATTTCCAATAGATAAAAACATGATTGTCATAAAATTCAAGAATAAGTATGAACCAGAAATTTATTTATGAATTATTGAGGAAACAAGCCCAGTATTGAAGATCTAAGAGCATTAGTGGAATTAGATATTTGCAGACATTTTAAAGAAAAAGAATATATAAATAAAATTTATAAGAAAGAATAAAAATGGTTAATGCCTCACAGGACAGTACGACCAAAGCCTTTGGAGTTATCTTTTCTACCAGATAAATATCTACAAATCAGCATGAAATTCCACCATGGTATAGGTCTGATCAAATAGAAGATATTCAAGTCAAACACAGATACATTCTCCTACAGCTGCTCTATTCATTGTAGCCACTAACTATATCTTTTAATTAAATTTGAGATCATTAAAATGAAATCAGTACAGATTTGGTTTCCCATTCACACTAGTCACATTTTAACTGTTCAATTAGATACATTTGGCTAATGGATACTTGATTAGACAACACGGATGTAGAATGTTTCCTTCATCACAGAAGGTACTATTAAAAATACTCTTTTAGAGAATTAATCTTTGAGCAGGCCTGTTTTATAATGCCTGTGTATGCCACTGAAAAACATATCGCCCCTCTTTTTGCTTTCAATATTTTTTTAAACAAAGAGATTTTACAAATCTCTTTTTCCACCCCTCCTTTCTTTTTTTTTTTAATGGAAGAGGATCTGAAAATATGGGTTCACCCTTAGATTTATTACTACTAAAGAGTTTAGCTGTCATTGAACCATTGTATTGAATAAACTATTTTGTATAAATGGAGGACATAGGACAAAGATTTTATTGCAAATGCGTGTATTTTAAGATTTAGAAATTCTTTACCCATATCCCTAGATCATTCTCACTCCTATATAACAAGAAGAAAGGTACCAAAGGTAGTCATTACTTTACAGAATAATTAAATCACTTATTTTGTGATTTTGGTATAGCAAAAAATTTTTAAAAATAATTAAATCACTTATTTTGTGATTTTCCTATTTGGTCTAGCAAAAAATTATCTTTGCAGGGTTTTTTTGTTTGTTTGTTTTAATCATAAAACTGCCTTTCCTTTTGAAATGTCTTCTGTGATGGTCTGGACAGATTTATATACTCTTTGGCTTGTGATACTAAATTTGTACTTGTAATGCAATGATTTTGTATGTGTGTTTTTCAGATGTGCAACAAATGGCGATTGACTGGCTTACCAGAAATCTCTATTTCGTGGACCATGTCAGTGACCGGATCTTTGTTTGTAATTACAATGGGTCTGTATGTGTCACCCTGATTGACCTGGAGCTTCATAATCCTAAGGCAATAGCAGTAGATCCAATAGCAGGGTAAGAAGTTCTTTTTTTTTTTTCTTTATTATAGTGTTTGATCTGAAATAGTTACCAATTAAAAATATAATAAATAAAAAAAAAAAGATCAATGTCTTACAGGAGTTGTGGAATAGAAGGCCATTGGTTCAAAATATTTTTGAATGTCAGTTTCAACATCTGCATTGCAAGGAGGAGAAAAGGGTTACAATTTACCATGCAGAACCTGGGGAATACCAATTCCTTAGCACATTAATATTGCTGGTCTAATCTGAGGTAAAAACAACCTGTTACTCTCTTAAGAACTGCTTTGGGGTCATCAGACAAGAGCATCAGGATAGTTTTAGGTTAAAGAGAGAAGACTTTAAGTTCCCTTAGCAGTATACCTTGATGTTAGCAAGCTTCAGAAATACTCCTTGAAAGATGTACTATTAACAAACATATCCAACACATTTGGGATTTATAAAAGGGGCATAATACAAGTTCAAGGACAATACTAAACCATTAAGGTCATCTTTTAGTTGAAACCTACTTTTTTTCTCTCTAACTACTGATATGTAAATACTATATAATTATGGAGTTACTGAATTTATCGGAATCTATTTTCTCTCTCTGTTTTTTGTTTGTTTGTTTGTTTGTTTTTAATTTTGCAAGCCTCTTTGTTGGTTAAAAAGATGTCTTATCTGAACTTCTTTTAGCTAATAGGTTCATTATTCTTTTTCAAATATTTCACAATTTGTCAAAATATAGTCATAAATGTTTAAATTCCCATCAAGTTTGTTCATATGGTTAGAAAATCCATATAGGAATTATGTTTCAATTTTACAAATACTATGGCATTATTGAGGGAAAGGGCAAAAAAGTCTTACAAATCCAGTTGTTTCTCCAGTCAATACTGTGCATGGATACTCTCAAATCAATGACATAATGTACAATTTCAATTGTTTTTTAAAAAAAATATTGTTTTTTTCAGATGTAAGTTGTAGCAAAGATTTGAAAACTGAAATTTTATCCTTGTTACTGTTTTAATTGTCCCCAAGCAGTTCAGGCTGATGGAACATATCCTGAGCTGCCATAAGCCTCCATTCAATAAATGGGAAAATATTTACTGAAGAAACAGCTGTCATCCATATGTGGACTTTTGTCACTCTTTACTTAAAGTCTGATTGAATATTAAGATGCATCATCACAATGGTTCTGATTTTGACAAGAACAGCTTGCACATAAGAACTTTGCTAGGAAGGCTGTGTAATATAATTCTTGAATGTAGCTCTATTTGTATTTGTAGCAGATGGTTACTTGACTCAATCTGACTGCAGCAATGCTTCAAAAGACATTAGTAAAAGAAGTTGTATTTAAACTGATTTGTTTGGGTTGTTGGATAAGGGTAGTAAGAAAGAATTGGAAATTTACAAATATGCTGACAACATTCTTTTGGAATTCTATTTAGAAATATATTTGCTTGCACGTTTTTCCCTGGATGTGCTAACTGCATTTCAGATTAGCCTTATCTGTCAAAAATGTTAAGAGGTGAAGCTATTGCATTTCTCCCCTCATTCTACCATCTTATCCTTCCCCATTCTTAAAAACAAAGATCCAGAGACCCCTTTTAAATAAAACTGTCAGTCTGAAATATATGTGAATGCCATCTCCCTTTCTGAATAGCAATGTGTTTTATGTTCTCGAGCTTCCTGTTTCTGTTATTACATGAAAAAAACATATTTTGTCATTTTTATCAAAGGAATTAGGAGTAGAAAACCCCCATATTGTTTGTGCTTATTCTCTGCAGGATGCCTTTGGGCCTAGTAACTGTTTAAATGTAATTTTGTCATGTATCATTTATCACAATAGGTTCTCTGGAATTTTTTGTTTGAGTTTGCTCTGTGCCTCTAACAGTTTTTCAATCATGAATCGTAGAAATCAGAGACAGCAGAGATCCGCTCTTTTATAACTATAAACCAGTTTGTAATAGAATACTTTCAAATATATCCTACTTTTCTCTTATTATCAGAAATTTGGCTAGGATTAATATGATACTATCTAGGATAGGAACAGTAGGTTTTTCCTTTAACTTCTACTTTTGGGCCTGCTCCATACTATTTTGAATAGTCAAGGCTAGAACAACTCTGCATGACCTACTAAAGGCGACACGTGCCACCAGTGAAATTTCTCCTACCTTTTCTTAATTGTATGGGTTGAATGATATATTTTTGTCTTGTTCTCTTGTAACTTTGGAAAACACTGGGATACATTTAAAGTCAGACCTGATTCTTAGAGCTTGACCTTAATAGCATTAGAAATGGAAAGAGATTTGCCTTACCTCTTCAAAAGCAGCATTTAAAAAAAAAAAACACTTTTAGTTGGCTATACTGTTAACTTTTACTTATAATAATGATGATGAAGTTGGTTTGACTGTTTGGGAAAAATGTATTTTGGCAGATGTGTGGTACGATGTATAAAACCCAAACTCTCTAGAGTTATGTGAGATGAATAAACTGAGGGAGAGGGGAAATCTGAGAAACATCAGGAATTGTATATTTTCTAAGTATAATGTATACCATTTTTCTATATAGTTTGGATTTTTAACTTGTAAAGTATGAATGGCAGAGTGTTGGTAGGATTTATTTGTGAATCTGTGACCCCATGTAAGGAGCCAGGGAAAAGACTATTATCATCTTTGTTCTCTGTAAGAGCAGGCCAAATGCCAGAAAGCAGAAGAGTGAAGATCATGTCTCGGAGTTGAATGCACATAGGAGTGATTGACAGTATTTAAATAGTTAATAAACACTTCCCCATTACCTACCTGGATTCCTGCTGCTGGCAAAACTAATCACAGATGAAAAAATTAGAAATAGAATCAAAGTAAACAGCTATCAGGGAGTAGGATGGACTTATGAAATTCTAATCTAAGATGCTCTGTGAATTTGGGAAACCAGAAATGAGGCAGGTTTGCCCATGCCCATGAAAGGGGTTTTGTAACAGGGAGATCCTTAGGGTGATAACAGGTTTTTCAATTCTATTCAGTGGCTCCTACAGCAAGTCTCAGTTTCAAATGAGAGCCTGCACTCACTATTCACCTGTTACAGGACAGAATTGTTGCTGACCTTTGTCTGTTAACCTCCTCAAACTCCACTGTGGGTTAATTAAATCTATAGACTACACCCCCACAACTAACTATTATCTATTAGTTTGTTGATTCAGATAGTTCTGAATTTGCTATAGGTTTGGACATTAGGAAGTATCTAAAGACATGCCACTATGTGTTCTTGTTCTCATCATGGAAGTATGAATCTTGAAGAATATGTAATTCACGAGTATGTAATTCATGAATACCCCTAAATTTCAAATATTCATATTCACATTTTTATAGGTTACAAATTGTGAGTCCTGTCTTTTTGAGGAAGAACTATCCTCTACACATATCCATAAAAATGTTTCCTGAAAAGGATGTAAACTTAGTTTCCCTTAAAATCTTTTTGCATATTTCTCTTTATTAGAAGAAAACTTCAGAGACATATCTTGAAAGAAGTTGCTGTGGTTGATATCGAAGAGGTTACTACCTATGTTCTCCTCTAGGATTCTGATGGATTCCTGTCTCACATTGAGGTCTTCTATCCATTTCGAGTTTATCTTTGTTTACGGTGTAAACATATAGCTGTCCAATTTTCCCAGCACCATTTATTGAAGAGACTGTCTTTTTTCCACTGTATATTTTTTCCTGCTTTGTTGAAGATTATTTGACCATAGAGTTGAGGGTCCATATCTGGGCTCTTTACTCTGTTCCACTAGTCTATGTGCCTGTTTTTGTGTGAGTACCAGGCTGTCTTGGTGATCACAGCTTTGTAGTAAAGCTTGAAATCAGGTAATGTGATGTCCCCAGTTTTGTTTTTCTTTTTCAACATTTCCTTAGCATTTCGGGGTCTCTTCTGATTCCATACAAACTTTAGGATTATTTGCTCCAGCTCTTTGAAAAATACCAGTGGAATTTTGATCAGAATGGCATTAAAAGTATAGATTGCTCTAGGCAGTAAAAACATTTTAACAATGTTTATTCTTCTGATCCAAGAGCATGGAATGATCTTCCATCTTTTTGTGTCCTCTTCAATTTCTTTCACGAGTGTTCTGTGGTTCCTCGAGTACAGATCCTTTACCTCTTTGTTTGGTTTATTCCCAGGTATCTTATGGTTCTTGGTGCTATAGTAAATGGAATCAATTCTCTAATTTCCCTTTCTGTATTTTCATTGTTAGTGTATAAGAAAGCAACTGATTTCTGTACATTGACTTTGTATACTGCACATTACTGAATTGCTGTCTGAGTTCTAGTAGTTTGGGGGTGGAGTTTTTTTGGGTTTTCCATATAAAGTATCATGTCATCTGTGAAGAGAGAGTTTGACTTCTTCATCGCCAATTTGGATACCTTTTATTTCTCTTTGTTGTCTGATGGCTGTTGCTAGGACTTCTAATACTATGTTGAACAAGAGTGGTGAGAGTGGGCATCCTTGTCACATTCCTAATCTCAACGGGAAGGCTGTGAGCTTTTTCCCATTGAGGATGATATTTGTTGTGGGTCTTTCATAGATAGATTTTATGAAGTTCAGGAATGTTCCCTCTATCCCTATACTTTGAAGCGTTTTAATCAGGAACGGATGCTGGATTTTGTCAAATGCTTTCTCTGCATCAATTGAAAAGACCATGTGGTTCTTCTCTCTTCTCTTATTGATTTGTTCTATCACATTGATTGATTTGTGGATGTTGAACCATCCTTGTAACCCAGGGATGAATCCCACCTGGTCATGTTAGATAATCTTTTTAATGTGCTGTTTGATCCTATTTGCTAGGATCTTGTTGAGAATCTTAGCATCCATATTCATCAGTGATATTGGTCTGAAATTCTCCTTTTTGGTGGGGTCTTTGCCTGGTTTGGGGATCAGGGTAATGCTGACTTCATAAAATCAAGATCAAAAGCTTCTGCACAGCAAAGGAAACAGTCAACAAAACAAAGAGGCAACCCACAGAATAGG